AGCGTCTCACGTGACAAGTCAACACTCAACGTGGGGGGTGTGTATTTGTATGAATGCTGCCCTACCCATTGTTGTTTAGGTTGCAGGCAGTTTCTCTTATGCGGAATGTTCCAATACTCTGGCTCAAGGTTCCCTTAGAGGCTGAAAGGATCAGGGAGGTATTTTGCCTTGCCATAGAACCTGGACATTCTGTAAATGCTGAGCTGAGCTACGAGTTACAACATTCGAAGTGCAAAAGGTGCGTTTGCGCATTTGGTTTGCTGGTTGTGATTGATTCACCCAGCCGACCTTTCACATAAATGATGGTTTGTAAGTGACATGCAACTGAGAAGGAGCCATGCAGAAAATCAAAAGAAATTCGGGGAGAACCAGCAAATAAAAATGCAAATCATTTTTCACCATTTGGGTGGTTTTACGACGAGATTGAGCTTTTTGCAACGATTTTTTTTGACCAGGTTTTTGTTTGCATTTTCACAACGGCTTACTTGGATTAATTCACAACGATTTGCCTATTTGTAAGACTACAAGAGTGGCTTCGAACAATAGTTCTACAACAATATCGTGTTTGTTTACAACAATGTTTGGTGTTTAGAACTTGCTTTGTTTTTTTTGCAATGCTTTGGTTTTGATGAGAAGATCCGCGTGTTTTTTTAATTTTCAGAACGCCTGTGAACAGTAAGTTTACAACGACTTCTGCGTTTTTAGATTTTTTATTTTTTTTATTTTCTGTTTTTTTTTCCATCTGTTTTGAAGCAACGGTTTCTTATCTCAATCTTATCGTTTCTGCTTGTTTCCCATTTTGTTCTCGTTTTATCTTTTTAAAGTGTTCTTTCTGTTCAAGTTTTCCTCGACTTCATAAAAATTACGGGCGGCAAGACAATTTGAAACAAACTCAAGCATGATGACCGGCTTCATGTTTTGAGCATAAACAAACGCATACGCATTTTCAGGCCACCCAGTTGCTTATGTTGCTTGGAATGATGCATTTTGGCATGTTGTATGCGAAGCGTATATTTCCGGACCACCTCCAGACCCCCATTTACTTGGGATTACGAATTCGAAACATTAAGGTTCGGGCGATGCTGGAAGAGTGTGGCTGAGCGCAGCAAAATGCAAGAAAACACGTACGCGTTGTCGTGCTGTGTTTTTTAAATTGCTTGCCGTCGTGAGAACAAGCCCTGCTATGGTGAGTCATCATGTATGTTGTTGTTGTGGTTGGAATGAAGGGCGATCAGAGCGTGATTAAAATGGAAGGGGTCATGCCCTTCTTGCCCCTATGCTTGTAAACTTGTACCTGAGGAATCTGAAGGTATTGGGATGCAATGCGACGCGACGAGCATTCATTCTGCACATTTGCGACCATCCGGTTAGCGCAGTCTGACCACATGCTCCTAAATGCCGACCTAGCGCTTGCAGTGCCCCTTCCACAAACAGACTCCATGTACACGAGGCAAAGTTCCACAGTTGTTGTACTGGTAGCCCAACCAGGGAGACGGAGGCTAATGCCTGTTCTTGCAACATGTCTGGTCGCAGGGTCAGCAGGCAAGTCTCTGGTGGCTCCCAGGCTTCACATGATGTGTCCGGCACCCTGAGGAAGCTCTCAGACGAGTATTATGGCCGTCATGGCTGCCTGTGCTTTCAAGGCCGGACCTGGAACTTCCACCTGCCATGCCTGCAGAGCCAAAACCGTTGGAAGGGGAGGCCCATGACATTACATGTCGCGCTGCCGCTGCTACCGAATCTGCCATGGTTTGCGTGCAGAAGCAGAAGCTGTTCCGTAAATTAGGGTGCGAGGTGAAGCCGGCGGTTGATCAATCCGCAGCATCAAAGCAGCTGCCTACTCAGACAAGAGTTTGTGGCTCTTGGCGTCCACGGGTTACTGGCTAAGGAAAAAAAAGTCAAAAAGACGGTAGCATGATGCTCCGGCTGCAGCTTCCCCAGCGAGCGGAAAAAGACCTCGGAGGTTGGGCAACTTCAGACTTCAAGCTATTCATAGCTTCGCCAAGGCCCAACATCCAATGATGCCTTTGTACAACATATGGCCCAAGCTTCGGCAGAGCAGTTGGGTTCGGTTGCAGAGCCCCCCTGTTCCCGTATGTTTCTGTTTCAAGCAGTCGGGAGAACGGAAGTGTTCAAAAAGAGTCTGTTCCATACTCCATAAATCCCCAGAACGCAAAGAGAGCGACTTCAGAGAACTTCTGCTAGTTATTCAAACGTGTTGCGTGTGCCTGGAAACCGTGGACGGCAAGGAACTGTCCAGGTGCCTTGCTTGCAGAAATGGAAGCCGACGGACACATGGGCATTTTGTTTTAAGTTTTTTTTCCCTGATATTTTTACGTCATTGCTGAGACTTGCAGCCTTTTCAGGGTGTGGTTTGCTCTGGACACATCTGGGATTGTTTATGCTCGTCAGAGTTGCTTGTCTAGAAAGGCATGGTGCAGGGGCGTGAGAAAGAGTATGCCCATGAACCGGTCTGGCAATGGTTGCCTTGAGGACGCCCCTTTCAGGGGGGTTGGGCACAGAAAAGTAAACGCAAACAAAATTGTATCTGAGGCCACCAGCTCGCAGCAGCTCGCAGCAGCTCGCAGCCATGGACCGGAAGCGAATGAGCATAGGGAACGTCACGGCCCCGATAGTGGGAACAAGATCAAGCGGCACATCGGAGAGGGAGGCGACGTGACGACATGTTGAGTCTGTGTATATTTGGGTGACTGGGAGCCTCCCGTCCAGTGCAGGCTGGCATCGCCGAGGCACAGAACGCAATCCTGCGAGGTCCTGTCGTGTAACACTTGGCCACACTTTGAAAAGCAGGTTTTTGAGCGGGCAAGGGAGGAGAAGACCAGAGCAGTTTATGCCTGGCCGTCAGAAGAGTAACCGAGTCGGAAAGCTGCCTGTTGCTCTGGTGCCTGCTGCACCTGACACCGAGGTGACCTCCATAACCGACAGAGACCTCCAAGGCCGTCAGAGCTTTTCTGAGAAGGCGCGATAGTCTTTTCCAAACTTGCTGCTTGAACGCGCTGCTTGCTACCGCTGGTGTTCCCTGCAGGACAGGATTGTTTTGGTTCCGCCAGGCAGTGATGAACAGGACAGCTTTAACATGCTGTTGACTGATTGCTCAAGCGTGTTGTTGGGCCTTTGCTTTGCAGGAGATGGAAGACTGGGTAAGAGCCAATGTCGGCTATGGCTGCAGAAAGGGCTTGAAGCCAGAGAGCCCTAACCAGGACTGATATCCCTGTTGCGTTCACAGCTGTCTGGTTGGCTTACCTGTTCTGACGCGTGGCAACTTTCAAGTACTAGCACCCACTAGACAAGCTTGGGTTTTCTGCGTTGAGGTTTATGTTGAGCTAGGTTGGGTGGGGCCTTTTGGGTGAACGCCTTCATTCAGGGTCCGGACTCAGCCTATATGTCAGGACAGTTTTTCATTGGTTGTGGTGGAGAGTGACTTTGCCTCTTGCCTGCACATGACGTCATTTGTCGCATCTCATTCCTTCCATCTGAGCAAGGCGATGTACGGCGTCTATGACGGCCACGGTCCAGCAGGTCATGACTGCTCGGACCTGTCCTTGAGGTATCCTCCTGCCCACACTCGTGCAAGACCCGTTACCTTCGGATTAGTTGTTTCGTGCAGGAAGTTGTGCAGTGCGTTCTTGAATGATCCCGATCGTGAAAAAGATCCTGGAGCCGTCCTTACCAAGGCGCAAGTCTTTTGTTGGTGCGCAGCTTGTTCCTGGCCGCGGGGCTATTGTCAGGTTTTCCTGGAAACGCAGGAGATTCTTATGAAACAAGGACAGTTCGACACGAGCGGGACGACGTGTACCATAGTGCAGCATGGACACAGATACGCTTTTGCGCTTTTTCTGGAGGGCAAGATTGCTGCTCGCAGCCTGTGCCAGACTACACGCAAAGTTGAGGTATCATGACAGGAAGTTGGACAAGCTGACCATTGCGCATGTGGCTTGACAGCAAGTTGTGTTAGACCACGGCTGCAGACAACAAGTGAGGGTAGTGAAACTTGCACTTGAGGTTGGTGATAGTAGAAGTGTGCTTGGCAAGAAGAAAGATGATGCCTCACCATGGGAGAGTCTGGAATTGACAACAGATCACAAGCCAGACCTTCCCAAAGTTGGGTCCTCAGTTGAGTTGTTATCGCAAGCTGCCAATACACTTTTATCCTTAATCCCTTGCAACTCAGGAGAAGGCCCGGATAGAAAGCGCTACTCCACCTGGGCGAGTGGTCTTTGATGGTTCCATGGCCACGTTCAGATTCACCATGATTCGAGACTGACGCAGGTTTTTGGATGCCTTCTCAGCTTCCTCCAAGCAATTTGCAATCCCAAAAGCAACTGTTCACCCTGAGACCGCTGGGCACGCTTGCTTGCTGTAGTTGTCTAGTACCATGCGAGCAAGAGCTTGCTATCAGTACCTGTTGGAGGAGCCAATTCCTGAACTGAATTATGCAGGCTTCAAGGCTTTAAGGCAGCTAAGTGTTTCCGACCCAGCCCACTTGTTGTCCTGAGACTTCTGACGGTGATGGGATGCAAACCGTTTGAAACCAGCCGACTCAATTCAAAATCTTTCAGTCATTGGCCTTCCCGCCTTTCGAGGCTACTACAACCACCGTGTTTTTGCTCAGAATGGTATGTATCCAGGCAAGTTGCATGCAGTGAAGGTCGTGTAGACATTTTGTTGTACATGCCGGGTGCCTAACAGGTCTCAACATGTCGCGTGCTCTTGGTGATATCATTGCGCACAAAGAGGCGCCCGATGCGCCCGACTGGTTTATATTCGACATCTTATAATGCTCAGCAGATCGTGGCAGGCTGGACTCACCGCCGAGCCGGATGTCTGCGTCATCGATCTGAAAGCCAGGGGCGCTTACTTTTTTTGCATGGCTTCAGGGGTCGATGTGTCAACATCATCCACAGGCTTGTGTGTTTGTGCTTGAGGCAGAACGCGAAAAGTATTCCAAGCTGATATTGCTTGTTTGCACAGATGGTGTGTCCTGGCTGCACAGCATTCCTCAGGATGTTTGCGGTGTCTTCACAGAAGTGACGGCGGTCTAGAGTTTCATGACTCCCAACACCTGCACACTTTACACGTGGCAGTTTGAGTTGCACCATGTGACTTTGTAAGCTTTGACAAAAAGAGATCCTTCCTTTTGCATCTCAGGTTTGGGAGTTCATTCTGAACAAGGAGGCGGCCAGCTGCATCAGAGTACTTTGTATTCTGGCTACTGAAGCCTGAATGTGATCAACCTGTATGGTTGGCAAAGGCAATTGGCATGGTGCAGAAGTTTCCGGATTGCCAGCAGGCAGGGCACCATACGTGTTTGTGCGTTGTATTTCAACTTGGCTTGTGCTCTGCAAGTAGGCAGTTGACAGACTGATGAAAGAGAGTTGGGACCGATGGATGAAAGACTCAGACAATGCACCTTGGCAACGACGCTTTCTAGGCTTTTTTCATGAAATAGTGCAACTGTTCCAAGGAAATCACGGACGATATCACGGCGATGCTGGTGAACCTGTAGAAGTGCGCTATTGATCCTGCTCCGTACTGGCTTGTGTTGCTATCAAACGCGTTTTGTTAGTAGAGTTTTTTATTGGAGTGGGACCATTTTCCTGAAAGCTTTTGCCAGCTCCGGCCTCTTCAATAATATTTTGCACTCCTTCGAAGAGAGGTTTCTTGCACAAAATGTTCCCCTGCAGGAAACTTCTGAAAATTCAAGTTCCCGCATGGCCTCTGTGCCTGGAGCCCCAAGATCATTCCAAGATGGAGCCAAGACATTGACTTGGCTATGAGTAACAAAAATTGCAGGAGCAGGCTGAGGGGCTGCTGAAGCCTTTCCAGACCTGGGCTCATGCGGTTTAGATGCTTGAAGTTCACAAACCCCACGCTGCTTTGGCAACCAGTGAGGCTTGCCATAGGCCGAGAACTCCTCATCGTGACCTTCCAACCTGCAAGCACCTCCAAAATCACATAGCTGCCAAGCTTTGCATCAAGCTGTCGCCATCGGTGCATGTGCGATTTTTTGGCACTCATCAAGGAGATCTGTGAGTATCGTTGCCGCAGTTTGTCGAGCCAAGCGCCCTACTGTGCTGCCATGGTCACAAGGCTGAACTGTCATCTGGAGAGGCTAGCAGAGAAAAGGAAGAGCGGTGAGCAAGCTTGCCCTCATGGTCAGCACAGAGATGATTGCTCGAGCCATTGATTACTGATTCGTCTGCAGCCAGCTGGCCAGTCTGCGAAGAGCTGCATACGTTGGGGCCATGTGTCTTTCTGGGCAGATATAAGACAGTTGTAGGTTTCCTTCGTGGATGCAGGACATCTTGCGCCACCTGGGATCTACAAGATATTGTAATTACCAGGGTATAGCGCATATGAGGTGGTGCATGTTTCCTCCATCCACCAATGGGTAGTGCATGATGCGGTTCGCTAACCAGTTCCGCAACTAACATACCAACATAATTCTTGTGTACAGGAGGGGGGCATGACCTCACAGCCATGCTTCGATGGTTGCTGCCAGCTGTTCTGGCAGTTGCTTATGGCGACTGGAAATGCACCTTTCAGGAGCAAAACCGTTGCATCATCAATGCCGCTCAACTAAACAACTTAGCTTCAGCGTCCTTTTCTGCGCTCCTGATACTCTCGGCTGCTCAGGTTTCCGCACAAGTGAGCGGACCACTTGTGTTTGACGGCAACGTGCTGGTGACGCATCAAGCGGCTGTGCGTTCTGAGACCAGCTTCAGTATCCAAGCGACCGGCAATGTCACGGTGGAGCAGGGGTCTTCGCTGCATGCTAAAGGCACCACATTTGCTCTAGACGCTTTTCTACTAGTTCTCGGAGCCCTTAATTGTCTGCATGAACGAGCGACAGGAGATCTGCTGATTAATGCAAGCACGATCCATCTTGCCGGCGTCTCAGCACACTCAATCCCGGTCGCAGTCTGTACGGTTTTGTATGGAGGCACCCAGAGAACCAAGCTTCACTGCACATTCTGCAGAAGAACACGTGTTCAGTATTCTACATGGGGAAGGCGTTGCGCAACAATTCCTACACTCCCTTGCGTGAGGGCATCGCACTCGCATGTCTTCACTACTTCTTGTGCAAGTCCGTTGGCCTGAAGAACACAAGGTTGGGTCCTCCACGTCCGCAACTGGGTCGCTCACGATCGTTAGCCGTGCGGTGTACAAGGGAGGCGTGCTCAGCTGTGCTGTAGGGTTCCCGCCTGTTGGTGTGCAACTGCGAGCTGACTGGCAAGGCGCTGTGGACTCACGGGGCGCATCAGAACAGGCCTGAATCTTGACCTTCTGCAACCCCTTTTCTCCATTCATATTTAACTTCTGCGCAGTACAAAATATGATATCCAGAATTGAATCGGGGTTTGAGGTGTTCCCCAAACGTCATACCAGCACGAACATTACATGTTGGTCCTTGTGGTCAACGATGTTGAAGCCTCATGGCAGGCGCTAGTGGAGGCCGCTCGCTTTCGAGATGCCGAAGCTGATCCTGGGATTCTTGTTATCGATTCAGCCTTGCAAGGCAAGGAAGGGAACTTGATTTTCAGGCGCATGCACATGCACGTAAAACACCCATCATAGAGGCAAACTAGAGTTGGCTTCAGTCTACAAGTTGGATTTGTGAGTTGACACCAGCGACATGAACGCATGTTTCTTCTGAGCTCTCGTGCAAAGCCTTCGTTTGATATCATCCATGGCACTTTGCACCCTGCCACATTTTCTGCCTGCACGAGAGCACTAGAATCCGGAGGCGGCAACGTCCAGCTGAATTGCAACCAGAGCAAGATTTGCCTTCAGGGGGCAAATAACGTGACAGTGACGGACCCTTCGCAGTCTATGCAGCTGAATGGAAAATTCATCTCGGCCCCTCACCTGCAGTTGTGGTCAACATGCTCCTTGATTTTCAGATTTACATCCACGGCTGCCAGACAAATCCCCGACAGGCTGATTGCAGCAACTCTACATTGGCATCAGCACGAATCATCATCGTGGCCCAAGCAGATGTGCTGCTCGATGCCGCCATTCCAGGCTATAAGACAAGTGATGGCAAAGGGGGGGAGAAGCCGTCGCAGTTGGACGTCACCACTCAAGGCCGCGTGATGATGGCTTGTGATCCACAGTTCATGTTCGCTCGAGTAATGACGAGTGAGTATCACGCAAATGGTATTCCACGTGTTGTCGCGCGCGCGCACGCACTGAGGCCGCATGCTCATTGGCAGCCAGAGTTTCACGTGGAAACTCAAGAGATGCTCAGCCGCCTTCATCAGGTGGAGCTAACGTAAAAGATTGCAGCCGTATTGACGGCCTTGCATTGTGGTACTCAAAGATTTCAGTGCCAAGGGTTGCACGCATCAGCCGATACACTGGTGGTCGCGTCAAGCAGCCGCATCCAGACCGTGGGGTATTCTACATGTAAGCACACATCTGACAGTGCAGGCCAGGTGAGGGGTTCACATGGTTCAGAGATCGATGCGACTGCATGCGAATCTGAGACTTTTCACAGGGCCAAGGGATCGCTGCTTTCCGGCTTGGTCGACCTGGCCGGGCTCCTGGCCCGAGTCAGTCGATGATCCATACGTGACATTTGATCTCGTTTCCCGGCATCAACGCAAGATTAAGTGAAGGCAAAGGCAAGGCAAAGCAAGGAACAGGTGACGTTGGAGATTCAACTCAGGTTCTCCTGGGACGCAGCTCCTTGAACTTGTCGAGTCATGCAATGATCTCAGGACAGGGTCAGCATGTAGGCAATGCGGTGTGCACAGTCCATGCTTCCCATTCTCTTGTCAGCTGCATCGTCTCTGCTCTGCGTGGCCGACGGGGGCCTGCATCTAGCGGACCACAATGTACTGGACGCCTCGGGCCGTGGCTGTGGTGCGGGCACCGGGCGGGCTCCTGGCAACACAGTCCAATCAAGCCCGGGTGGACCCTACTTGGCAGGCCCGCTTGGCTCTTTGTCGCCTTTGTCGCTGTAGACTTGAATTGCCACGCGACTGCCAGGCGGAGGCACTCACCTCGGCGAGGGAGGATATGGAGGTTTCGAAGAATAGGGGTTGGGCGACCCATGCAGTCACAGTGCAGTGACATGCTGTACTAGTCTAACGTTCACAGGCTTGGTGCTCCGCATTCGGACGCTGCACTGTGCAACTTAGCTGTTGGCTGCAAGCCTGCTCGTCAGGTTCGTTTGACACTCATACTGTTGAGCCGAATCCTTCCACGATCCAGCAGCCTGCGTACGATCGCTACAATCGGCTTTTCTTGCCTACAGAGGGCGCCTCAGGCGGTGCAGCTGGCCAACTGGGACCAGACACCTGGAACACTGCAGACATTGCTCAGGCTGCAAGCTCATCTGGTGGTGGCTTGATCTGGCTTTCCGCATCCAGCACTTCTGGGATTGTAACGTTTGGAAGTTGGGTTGCCTTGAAGGCTGAAGGCCTGCCTGGGGGCGCCACCAAACATGTGTCAGGGGGTGGAGCAGGGGGACAGATCTTGATTTTTGCAACCAAGATTACGACTGATGAGGAGGCGGGGTAGGTCTTGTGCTTGCAACGGCTTCTGCTGCTGGCACTTTCGCATTGTTGTGGTTGCATCCAGGCTCCGCTGCTCAGCGTTGCAGGTGGCACGGGTGCATGCTCAGCTACTGAGAATGTGCTTAGTGGTGGTGGCGGAGGTGGATTTGTCGGCCTTAACTGGACAGCAACATCACCCTTTCCGTCGCATGGCGAGCTGGTTGTAGATGTGTCTGGCGGCGTGATGGGAAATGATGGGTCTGGCCAGAACTGCTCCTGGGTGGTTCCGAATGCTCGTGGTCTCATCGAGACATTCGGGCGTGCCGGCCAAGCCATGCCGTTGCAGGGCTGCTCTGCAGGCTACTCCGGCCTGTTCTGCGATCCCTGCCCAGCTGGATATTGGAGCCAGGGCGGCCTTGGAATCTGCCAGGCATGCAGGAACAAGCCTCCAAACGGCAATTACACCAAGGCCATTGCATGCCATTGCATTCTTTTCCTCTTTACATGTAAATTTATACTGCACAACATTGTCCTTGATTTACCCTGTGAGGCTGCCTGGCCAAGCGCAGACTGCCCGTACTCTTGCGGGGTTGGAGTTCCAAATCAGAAAAGCAATCCAGGCTGCCTAGATCCCATGGCCTATGCACTCAGCTTCTTCGGTGGCCCAAAGGGCGTACTTGCAATTGTACTGGCGGTCATCACCAGTGCTGCTGTGCTCCTGTGGCGGCGGCGGAAATCGGGAGGCGGCCTCTCTCGTCCCTTGCTCACTTTCGATGGGTCTGAACCTCAGTAGCAACTGTATGCAATCCCCGATGATTAACAAGCGTGAGGCATTGACGGAGCATGTGCAAGCCCTGACATATACGGAACGGATGACCAAGAGTTTAGTCCGCTCACCTCACTCAAAATGGTGAATCAAACAAAATTGACCTGGTTCCTCTTGCCTGCAAGTAATGCCGAGGGTTGCGGGTTCCTCATCGTACTCTTTGCGCGGGCAGAGCCGAGTTGACAGTGGAAGTCGCCAAAGCGGCAGCTTCTCCAATTGCTGGGCATCTTGGTTCTGGAGATACTGCAGCCGCCGTTCTGGCTCCGATGGACCCGATGGACAAAGGGTCGTGCAATCTCCTTCTGAGTTTCAGATGGCCCAGGAACAACTACCCTTTCACACTTACAGAGTCTACTTCCAAGGCGAAAATGCCGGAGACTCTGTATGGTTTCTAAAGCCACAGGTGCCAGCAGCTGTAGAAGATATAGTGATCAAGGACAAATGGGAGCAATTGGCCAGGATGGTGAACGCAGCAGCAAGCATTTCAAAGCTGCAAAGACGCGCAGAGGGCGTCTTGCGATACATCTACCCGCCTGCAGCTCCGCTGTTTACAAGGTTCTGCAGATGCAAGCGTGCAAGGGCCCTCTTGCAGATTGTGCGCGAGTTTTCCGAAGCAGAGCGATTCTGGATACCCATTCGACAGGCAGGTGGCGAGCTACATGTGCGGTTCGGCTGTAACCAGAAAGCCACGCTGGCTTACCTGGACTTTTTCGACTTCTCCAGGTCCCCCATGGACTTTGCACCTGTGAACCTCAGGAAAGAAGCCTGGGTGATTCCCGTCCATGGCCAGGGGAGTTTCGAAGAGCCATACGAGGTAGACATGAGTGATCCTGTGCTGCAGCGACTGGAGCACACGGTCCATGGCCCCACAGCGATTCTTTCAGTCCTCTCCACCTTCAACCGCATTGCTCGCAGAGTCTTCAAGGTGAGGATCCGTACCTGTACCTAGTCAGGCTTGTTTGCAGTCCCATAAGCTCCGCCCGCTTCTGCAGGACGAGCTGCACAGCTCTGACCATGATGACCCTCTGCAGCAGCTGCATGAGAAGGTGGAGCAATGTGCCTCCCAATGTGGGTCACCAGCCTCAAGTGCGCAGATGACCAAAACCTTTGTTGGAGCATGAGCTTGGGACACATAGCCGTGCTGCAAGGCTTGGAGGATTTGTCCAAGTTCTTGCCATCTGGCAGATGGATCGATGCCGAGGTTCCGGGCATTTCCCAGCATTCATCCATGCTTGCACTATCTTGCGCTCTTTCGTGGCTTCCTATGGCAGGCAATGATGCATCTGGTCGCGTAGAAGCTGCCAGTGTCGCAAGATCTACAGATCCTCAGGCATTGGGTGTCGCCGCTCGGAAGATGAGAGCATGCTTGCGGTTCTTGTCGTTCTGCGGAAGGACAATTCCTTCATGGATCTAGTGATCGAGCCGCAGGTCTGGCTAAGACAAAGAGTTGGACATTCCGGGGTAGGTGAGAATGGTGTATATGGCCAGGAGGTAAGCCGCGAGCGCCTGCCATCACATTCCCCTCGACGTCGAGAGCTCCGAAGCCTGGATGCACTTGGACTTGCTCTCCTCTCCTCTGCTCGAGAGTTCAGAAATCCACGGCAGATCTCCCGTGTTGTGAGGACTCTGTTTGGTTTTCACCGAGTTTTCGATTCTGGCGAGTCTGGGCCATAGACCCTGTCTTCATGGCATTGTGATTGTGAGACCCTGCGAGGTGCTAGCAGCAGCGAGTCCTTTGGAAGCTTTTCCACGTCCTCAAAAGTGACCACCCAAGAATTGCAGTTGCTATCCGTTACCCGCTTCCGTTTCGTGCCTTACCTCACAGGTCCTCACAACACCGATTACTCCACAGGTCGGGTGAGCCCTTGACAGATGCCCGTCCATGAGCCCCTTGAGCAGGCTCTGAATGAGATTCTGCGAAGCTCTGCCGTGGTCGTAGGCTGCGACGGTTGAAAGGGGTAGCCTTGCAACGTCAGCGGATGCTTCAGGTGAGGACTCCGCAAATCCTGTCCTGCCTGATTCGGGTTGTGGCTTGGGCCTGAAGCGGCTGCGGGCTCAGTTTAGGGCCATAAAGTGACAACGAATTCTCGATGTTCTCTCTTCATACCTGCCTTGGCAAGGCAACTTGGGTGTAGAGTATAGGGTCAAGCAGTAGCCCGAGCCTGCTTATACTGCCAGCTCCCTTCCTGAGGCTGATCATTTGCAAAATCATTGAACACTAGCCTGCAGCGCATTGCAGCGCCAGTTCCACAAGCCCCTGTTTCTTGAGCTTTGTTGCCATCATTTTGCCCCATGTTTCTATCCTAACCGCCATTGATGAGCATGGCTGGAACCCGCTTCGCAAAACCGCCGCATAAAAATGTGAGCCTCAGTCCTTGTGGCTTTGTTAGTCTGTCTAAGGCCTCTGCTGCGATTGGGATATTCCAGCGAGATCCTCGTTCTCCTCAAATTGCTTTCCCACACGTGAATCAAGATGTCACTGCAGGCTCTGATCAAACGGCAGCAAGAACTCTGGTGCTGCTTGGCTTTATGCTTTGCTTCGCACCTAGGGAACAAAGAGAAAGTCAAGGTGACCTATTTGTGATCAATGTGCTTAGCCCAGGTTCTGACCTCGTAAGCACACATGATGAAGAGCCATTGTTCATCTCTCACATGTCATGGTTTTCTTACTGGTTTTGGTGGGGCTTGTCGGGTGGCGCTTGGAATGTGCCGGTGAAAGCACTTCACCTGAATAAAAAATCATGGTGAGGTCGCTCATCTGCTTCCTGGCCTTTGACCTCCTGGCATTCTGTTTGATCTGCGGGTCAGCACGCGCAGCACTTTTTCCGGCGAAGCTCTGCTCGAGACCTTTGGGCAGGATCCTCTTCAAGACCAGCATGGTGGCCGGCATGGCCCGCCCTTCAGACCTCAAGTTGGATTGATTTCAAGGGACTTCGCTCGAGCTCTGCATTGAGGTCTGGGTATTTTTACCGCCCTTGGCACAGCCTTTGGCGTGACTCGGCTTTAAAAGCCATCCGAGGCATAGCATCCCTGAGATTCCTGAGATCTTCTGAAGCCAAGGCTGGTTGTGGGGATCCTCTTCTTGCTCATGGAGGAACTGCGAGCATCGTACGGATTCTATCGAGTCGTTCATGTTTTGGAGGAGCCCGAACTGGGTCGGCTGTTTGCTGGTCTGGAAGTGCTTGGCATGTGGAACGCTGCTGTATCTCTCGTAGTGGCCCGTCGGAGAGTAGATTGACGCTGCTTGCGGAGTGCCACCTTTGGGCATTTGGATGGGCTTCGATAGGTGTTGATCTGGCTGCTGTTCCTGGACTCTCTGGTGTACATGCCTTATGCCTTGATATTCAACATTGTTCTGAAATCGAAATCAACAGCTTGGCGTGCGGGAAATCTCTTGTCCTCAGGTTTGACATCCTGGCTATGGGTATAGTCAGCTTTGTCAAGGCCAGCAACACAGCAGCCTTGTGATTGCAGGCAGCGTGTCAAACTGCTGTCATGTGAGGGGACACTCTTCGCAGCAGCTGCTGCTCATGTGAGCCAACTGGAAGCCGACCGGGTGAGCGTCTTAGGCTTTTGTTTCACGCTGACCGAGCTCAGTGATTCGTCAGGACTTGAGCTCGATGGACACGCCACAGAACGAATTTGTGGAACGCACCTTGGCCTTGCAGAGGCGAAACCTGTTCAAAGTCCTAAAGCTGGTGCCAAGTGTCAGCATGGTTTTTCATTGTTCAACGTGGCAATTTGGGATATGCCCCCCCGCAGAAAACTACAACTCTTCACCAGTTCTGCAAGTGTCCAGCACTTCTTAATGCAAAAAGCTCTCTCTCCCTGTAGCAGGATGCAAATCTTGCCGTACCATCAGACGTTGTCTGCGCACAAGGATTGTTTTCCATGCGGGACGAGGAGGTGCGAACCAGGACACGTGAACAGGCTGCTGTAAATGCCGTGCCATGGCAGGACCCGAGACCGACATCTGCGGATGAGGCTGGAAGTGGCTGTTCCTCAATGTACGCCAGCTGGCACTGTGGGGTCCAATCATGACCGGTGAGCTGCAACACTTTGAAAGGTTGGCACATCAGCAGCGGCCATGTGCGCGAACCAAGACTGGGATGCAGAAGCGTGTCCCGAGACGCTTCCGAAGCGTATGACGAGGTCCTTCAACTTTAACACTTTGGATGAGCTCTCGGCAACTCGAGCGTCAGACAGCCATCCCGCTTCGACCCAATCCATCAGGCTGGCAGTTTTTTAAGAGACGTAGGTCAGTAGGTCCTGCAAGCTTTCCGAAGGTCCCTCCACAGTCCGCGGAGCTTTTCGAAGCCACAGGCTGATGTTCAGATGATCAGAATCTTGGAAATCTCCCGTGACTATACTCCGGAAGGTGCAAATGCCATCACCCTTCTGAGTCCATGCAGCGCCTGTGCAAAGCTGGCACGTGCGTTTCAGAACTCATCGATCCGATGCTTGAAGCCGGGCATGGTTCGCGGTTAATACATTCCCTGGCGTTTTGCGCCGGAAGGCAATGAGTGCAGCGCTGCTAAGCTTGGGCAAGCTGCATCTCCATCTCGTGGAAAACTCAAAGCTTTGGTTTGTTGGCGCAATTGAATTCATAGAACTCTTAGAGTGTTCGAGTGGCTGCGACTGAGTGACTGCACTCGAAGCTGCATCTTGCCGAGACGTGTTTTGCTGCCTGGGAGCAGAGCTAGTTATGGCTGGTTACCACTGTGCCCCCAAATGTCGAGCTGTTCTTACACGAATAGTTTGCAGGGAGCCGCAGGGCCTAAAACAAATTTTCAGGGATTTCTCTTTGCCTCGCCATGTGCGGTGAACAGACATGGGTTCGGCCTCATCGGCGCCAGTATGGGGTATAGACATCTCACAGTCTACTCCCGTTACTTGCAACCGCTGGTGGGCTGGGCTGGCGCTCGGTGGAAAGCTCTATGGGGTCCCATGCAACGCTGAGCATCTTCTGATTTTTGATATTACCAGCAAGACTGAACCTCTACGCCTTGTGGATACTCGCCGTATTGCCACAGGCCCAGGGAAGTGGCGGTCTGCTGTAGCCATAGGCGGGAAGCTTTATGGTGTCCCCGATCGTGCAGAGGCCTTGCTCGTCTACGATTTCAACTCTGGTAAAGCATCAGGGGTTGACACTCGTAAGCTGTCGCGGGGAGCTCTCAAATGGCAGTCGACGGTTGTCATGGCCGGGAAGGTGTACGGAGTTCCACATCATGCCAGTAAGCTTCTGGTCTATGACCCGAAAGAAGAATCCGTATCAGGCATTGACACCACTCACATTGCGACTGGCAACTCCAAATGGCTTGCAGGACTTGGCCTTGGTGGCAAAGTCTTTGGGGTGCCGTGCAACTCCGATGTCATTCTAATGTTTGACCCGCTGTCCAAGAGGTGTACGGGAGTCCCGCAGTACTTTGCAACAGGTCCTTTCAAATGGCTTTGCGCCGTAGCAGTGGCTGGCATCATGTATGCGGTGCCCTGCCACGCAGAGTGCATTTTGATCTTTGACCCTGCAACAAATCGGCTCCGTGGCATTGACACTACTGCAATTGCAACTGGACCGGGCAAGTGGGTCTCAGCTGTAGTCTGTGCCGGAAAGCTCTATGGCATCCCAGACCATGCTGCATCTGTTCTTGTTTTCGACCTTGCATCAGAGGCTTGGGTCTGAGGGACACAAGCAAGGTCACGCTGTGGTCAGGAAGACAAGGGGTGGAACTATCACGGGTTGAGAGTGGGGTTGGACATTAAGTTATCAGCTAGCGTGAGTGCCACCTCAGCGAGGGCGGCAGGGAAGGGCATTGGATCTGCGGGTTCAGGCAGGTGGGGCTCAGGGTCAGTTATCATCTGGTGGATTGATTGACTGACTTGCTGCAACCCTCCATCCTCCTGAAACGCTTACGGCTCGTGATTTTCCAGGCACCAATGCTATCAAGCTTGGCGGTCGCATCAGACCTCCCTCCTCCTCCTCCTCCAAAAAAAGTGTTGAACACCTGGCTGGCTTTCGTTGGCCTCCGCTTCCCCATCAAGGTTTTTGTGCTTGGTGCTGTTGTCTTGTGTCATTCTGTCATCGCTGGTCAGGCAGTCACAGGGATTCGCATTGAGGGCGTGTCAGATGTCAAGGGCAAGTGGCAAGCTGCAACCGTGATGGGTGGCAAGATCTATGCCATCCCTTACAATGCGCATCACGGCAAATTCAGCCAGTGAGGGAGACATCCAGCTGCCATGGCTGTGTGGTGGTGAGGGTGAGCGTTGGTGTTTGTAATGAGGCCTGTCAGAAAACCTACTGACTTTGCGTAAGGCAGGCCATTCTTATTGTGGACCCAGCGATGGGAACAGCAACCTCTGTGGATGTGACCAGTTTGGAGTCTGGCTCTGGCAAGTGGGGCTTTGCAGCCGCAATAGGCACCAGACGTGGGAGAGCGAGCGTCAGTGCAGCATAGTGCAGCTGCTTGTCCTGGGAGGCGGGAAGCTGTGCGGATTGCCGTGGGATGCTTCCAACATTCTTCTGCATGAGCCCGGTGAGGAGGTGAGGGCCGCACAGGCAAGGTTCGGTTCAGAGGCCCGTCAAAAAAGTCCATGTAGCGCTTCATGGGCAGGAGACATCGCCAAAGGAGCAAGTTCGCAAGGATGTGGAAAGCCTGCCCGAGGTCCGTGGCATACCTAGCGTGTTGCTTGGTACACACGCTACTTTTCCGCAGAGCGCAGATTTCTGAACAGGAGCCTGAGATGCAGAAGGCTCAAGAGGAGGAGGAACCGCGATTCAGCGGCACTCCAGACATCTCTCTGGAGCTGGGCGAGAGTTTGATGCAGGATTCTCTGCTGGAATCCATTTCTGTATTCGCATTCAGACTCTTCGGCCATGGGGCAGACTCTCAGGACTTCGTGGCCTCCTGGCTGAGCGAGTGGGTCTACTTCGTAGATCCCGTAAAGCCATCCGCGGTGCCGTTGCTGAAGAGCCCTGGCTGCAGCTTCTCACTGCATTCGCATTCTCGTGTAATTTGCAGCTTCAGGGTTTGCCTGTTGCATATTAAGGTGAAAAAGACGCGCAACTATGAACATCTACAGAGCATTACCTATTGCACTGGAAAAACGCAAAGTAGGGGGGACCCGCGATGTAACGTGGTAGTTTGGCCTCTGGTTTTGTTGTCATTCAGCATGGTGCCGAAGCTGAGGGTGGGAGGAGAGCCGGTGAAGTTCCAGGCAGCGGAAAAAGTGTGGAGAAGTGCAAAGATTTGTGGAGACATCTAGTTTGGCACCGGAGGTTCTGAGTGTCATGGACGATCCCATGCAGGGCAGCCCGGCTCGCCTTGCTATTGTCACTGCAGCGCTGCCAAAAACGCAAGCGGTTCCTCGGACTCTGGGTGCGTGACATGAGAAGCGAGGAAGCTATAAGCAGAACGCCTGCCCACCCAGGTGCTGTACTTGATTTTCAAAGGGTCTTCCTTCATGAACGACTTTGTGGCAAATGCTTCTGTGGGACCAGACTACACTCCGTTTGATGCAGCGTTTGGGGACCGCACGACCTTTATCCACCACGGTGCTCATCATGACACTTGGCTGGCTGTGATTTGGCCGCTCGTGCTGAAAGCAGCCAAGATATCCAGGCCATTGCGCAATTGCGTGTGCAGCAGTGGTCGCTTCTGCAGGACCATGCAAGCATGAAAGCATGAGTCAATATGAGTCAGGAAAATGGCAAGCGTTAGTCACGAAGAAAGAAGAAGCACCGGCCAGCAAATTCACGCCTTTTCCTCTTCCAGACTAATGCCTTGACCACTACACAAGCACTGGGAGCATGATATAGGCCATGACGGCGCTGCAATCTGCAATTTGGACCAGGAGCAGTTGGAACGTTGCGAAACTGAAGGAGCTCCTTGTCTCAAGTGTGCCGCAGGATGAAAGCAATTGTGGTTGGCACATCCCCATCTAGTGGTAGCAGCGGAAGGTTCTGACTTGTTTGAGGTCCAGCGGCTTATAGTCGCTGGCCATTCCCTTGGTGGACAGTATGCTGCGAGCTTACTCCACTGTCGGTTTGCTGCATGCTGCGTTCGTACACGACAGGCAGGGTTCAAGAAGGGGATAGTTGCCCTCGACATATTGACTGACACGACACGATGCAAAAACCGTCTGTAATGCAGGCGGCTTTTACCTGACTTAGGCGCTGGCTTTCATGCTCCAGGCCAGACTGGCAGAGCGGCATCGTCATCACACGCCTTTTGCAGCCAGGTTTTCTTGGATAATGCCAAAGGTGCTCCAGTCCATCCGCTCTTGAGAGAGGCGCTGAGGGACCCTGTGAACTGGACACATTTGGAGTTTGCAGGCGCGCTCTGTTGCCTTCGGGGCCCCCATGTGCTACGGGGCAGCAGAGGCTGGAAGCTGCGTGCGATGTAGACAAGCAGCTGCACAGTGCGGGGCTTCCGAGCCCCGTTCTGGTTGTATATTGTGTGTCTTGACTTGCAAGGGCTTTGATGTGCGCAAGGACCGCTGAAAAGCTGCGTGGATTTTGTGGAGCGGTATAGTACAAGCAAAGTGCAGAGTTTCATGAGAGCAGGACTTGGCTGATTTCATTCAGCAGCGCACGGCGCTGCTCCTCAGAACTTGAGCTGTTTCTTCGCCAAACCCAGCGTCGATGGTGTCGAATAGTATCACTCGGCTTGAAGCCACGCGATATGTGTACCTGGCTTGCCTGAAGTTTCCATTTGTTTTGTGGTCGTCGCCAAGATGCAAAGCAATCTTCCATTATCTTATTCAAGGTTGCCAGCTTTGTAGATGCCGTCGCCATCTCTTCATAGCAAGCCCTGCCGACTGCGCGCTGTGTTAAGAGTTGTGAAATCGAGGTGGTGTACGTGAATGCAGGCGATCCAGCACCAAGGTTGTGGTTGCGTGCTTACCCGGCTTGCACCAGTTTCGCCAGAGTTGTGCTTGAAATGTACTTGTTACCGCGCGCAGTCTGGAGCGGTTTCAGGTCCGAGATGGACTTGCAAGAGTTCATGCGGTGCCCCGCCTATGCGGTCCTTGCCTCTCGCCATCCACTGCATGTTGAGGTATGCAGTGTCCTGGCTACAGCAGAAGGCTGGGCAGCTGGTGCAACTCACAGGAGCTGGTGTGGTTATGACATGCAAGGTGTCTAGCTTTTCAATGCGCATCTTGGATTATGCTGCTGGCGGCTTGGCTCAGAAGGCGCAGGCACGGTTCGCCTTCACGTTGTTTGTTCCTGTTGATGAAAGCGCCCTTACGATGCGGGGTATCCAGGAGGTATTGAAACGCCCGGACATCGAGAAGCATTTGTGCAGCTCTTAGCGACTGGCCCTCTTGGGAGCATGGACGGCAGTTGGTGATGATTCTGCTTTGCTGAGACTTATGATTCCGCTTGAGCTTGAGCCTCGCCCGCGCAAGTTTGGTTGCATCACAACCCATCTGAGTCAAATCCTAAATTTTCGAATCAGAGATTCCTTCCAAACAGCTTTGAAAAGAGCGAAAAGGCGTACTGCTCGAGCATGAAGACCATGTTGTGAGCGACGTACAAATTCTGAATTTAAAGACAACCATTCGTATTGATATTGAGTCAGTGCCAATGGCATTTAGTCACAATGCAACTGTTGAATTGAGATTTTCGCTCAACGCATGGTGCTTCCTTTTTGCCACATCCTCTGTTTCAGATTGCACGTGCAATCTGTCTTGCTAGGTCCATGAGATCCTACGACTCTTCGCTGGTTCTTGCATGAGACGATATCCACGAGGGTTCTCTTTCCAACCCGTGATCTTTACAGCCTGCATTACGTCACAACCGGACTACAGTCTTCAGCGCATACTTTGAACCAACAGTGATGACCCAAAAGCCAAATTCAGAATCCGCATGCCGAATCCCAAGGCCTGAGCCCTCAAGACTCATCGTTGCTAAGCCCTTTGACTACATACCATAGGTCCCTCCTGTGCAAGATACAGTTGATGCCCACAGCTCTAACCTTCCCTCCTAAACGGAAAATCAAGGATTCACCCTCATACCGACAAAAGCCACGAAACAACAGAATCTCGAACTTCCTCCAGAATCTCAACTCATATTAAGAATCCCCTAGCACCAGCTCCAGCCTAAGCAGTGAGCCAGAATCCAAATTCCCAAACCTCAGACTCTTATCTCCAACAGCGGTGACAGCCTTTTCCTGGCTGGTGACAAGGAATTGACTCCATTCAAGGCATGAATTGGGTTCAAGTTAATAAAAAGCACAGAAAGCACAATCTGAAAGTTGGCAAGTCCCAGTCACGAGGAGAGAAGGCAATATTTTCATGAATCTTTTTAAGATCTCATTGCACCGTTGGTTGTAGTGTTGCCCAGGTTGCGACCCGGTGCCTGCTATGTCCATCTTTCGCAGATTCGTGTCCTCGCCAAGGACTGGAATCTCTCTGCTGTGCATAGGGGCAGGGGCAGTATGCTCTTTTTTTCAGGATTTCTTTCTGTGGAGGCCGCTCAGCTATGCCAGTTGCAGCCCGAGAGCAGACTGTGGATTCAATCGGATTCTTGGGTCTCAGCCGTTTACCCTGCCTGTTGCAAGGAATGAACATTGAAGACCACAGCCTTTCCAAAGGCTACATCCCGGCGCTGTGTGCTTGGCGGTAGTTGTTTGAACGGACAACACGGATGCAGCTTGCAGACAGGTTCTTAAGGGTTGCGTATGCTGCTGTTGGCAGACCAGGTGCTGCCTTCGATCCAGTTGCTGCTGGTGGGCTGTGGGATGAAAACGGCCAAATGCTTGTGGACGAGGACCTGAGAGCTGACCAAAACATGAAAAGCAAGAGTGGGCTCCGTACTATGGCTGAGCAGGCTGGACATGGTCTTCTATGATACGATCCATGTCCACATGAACGATGCTGCTTCTCCAAGTACCACAGCTGAGAGCATTGACAGTAGGCTCCTCGTGGAGGAATGTGAAGGACTTTGAGATTACTGACACGGCGGATGCGCAGAGCCCAAGCAGCCTGGGCCGCATGCGGTTGCGCGCCAGGATCCAAAGCTGGGCCATGCAAACAAGACACTCGTAAAGCGCAACTGGTTGGTTGCAACATGTTGCAACTGTTCAGAACCACACCCTACCGGCGTGAGCTCGCCGGCTTTGTACTGAGCCAGTGAAGCTTACAGCTCACCTTTCGGATCAAAGATAGTTACAAGTGCACGGCCATTCTCATCCGCACATTTGTGAGACTGCGGCTTGGCTGTGCAGAGCCTCTAGCCGTACTGAAGTAGAATAGTAGTAGTATTATGACCTTGAGCTCTTGGCATCACGATTGCGAACTGCCATGGCAGCGTTGCGGCATGCAACGCGCTTGAGGCCCTCGGCTTTGCAAGCGACCTCGGCGGCACGCTGCGTGGATTGTGCGTTTGCCTGGCTGCCAGGGACTGCAGTCCTTTTGCAGCAATCTCTGTGAAGTAGTAGTAGCGGCACGAGGTTTAGCACAACAAGCTGCTTATGTACTTGTGTGCGCTAATCTTACCTTAAGTGGGATAACCGGCGACGTGCGCCGCGTGTGGTGTTTTTTTGCCGCGATAGTGCCATGGATGCAAGCGCTGCGTCCTCAAGTCGACATGACAGTCACTTGGACCGCAATGGCATGGGCTTCGCAATGCTTCACATCTTTCTCATCCAACTTCAAGGCAAGACGCTGCGAGGGACCTTCCAGCTCATGACTTGGACCTTCAGTTTGAACCATGCCACCATGACCACGCTGATGATGTACGCAAGTTCAGCCCTTGACCTAGCCACCAAAAACCGACTAGATGCTGGCCGCGTGTCATCGCTCAAGTAAGAGGCCCTGGGCCGTGTCAATGGGAACCTCTCCAATGCTTTGCTTTTCTCGGCTCGGTGCCCGGCAAAATTTTCAAGTGATCTCTTAAGTGAGCTTCGCCGCTTCTCGGCGTGTGCGGCAAGATCGGTGATTGGATGCGAGCAGCTTTCTCATGTGTGCTGGGCTGGAAACTTCAGGTCAGCCTGGCAACCTCGCTGGGTCTGGCTCCTGTGATCGTGAACACTTTCGGCCAGAAGAGAGGAGCGCGGCCGTGGTGGAATGCCTCTGACTGACTTCATACCTGCGGCCGGAGGTCTTTTACTTGGGCTTGTTGGATGTACCACCTACGTGCTCTTCTTCGTTCTCGCAGTGTTTTTGAGTACTTGGCGCCACAGAGGAATTGGAGGTAGGAAGTTGCTTCATCATTCTTGGAATGACCCCTTAGTTGTGCAGATCTTGGTATTGGCAGGCTGCCAAAGCAACAGTGAAGCCATGCTGGCTTTTGCCGCATGGCAAAAACAGCAGAGTCATTTTGAGGTCTTTGCAAATTCCCTGTCGAGGTCGGGGCAGGATTTGGTGGGCTCGGAGCTGGGCTCCTTTGGCCGAGCCAAGGGGCATTCTTCTCCACGGTCGCCCCCCAGCAGCAGCTGCCAGATCTTGTGAGATGCTGCATGGGACAGGCTTCCGAGGTCGGTATGTGAATGTGACTGAGCTGAGGTGCAAGAGCTACAACGTGCCGAGCCGGGACCTGAGTGAGTGGGTGACAGTAATTTCTAAACTCACCCACAGTGTTCGGCCCCAGGCCAGCCACCGGGACGCGTGAGGCACGTTAGGCAAAGCAGAAGTGTGCCTTGCCCCGTGCAAGCCACCAGGAGGCATTGTACCACCTGACAAGTGAGCTCTCGTCCTCCTTCGCCTTTGGTTTGCTGGCAGCCGATTCTTGGTGGAAGTGCCACTGGAGACTTGAATGAAGTGCAATCCCAGTTGTGGGATCTTCCGCAGCCAAGGAGTGCGGAATCAAGCTTATGATGGCAGAGCTTCGGCTGTGTTTGATTTGAAAGGGAGAGAAGTTCAATCAGAGATCTCCAGCAGGTGCTCAATATCTTCTTGCAAACTGGATGAGAACTTAGGTGTTGCTCACCTATGTGCGCCTTTTTTGCAGCTTCTGCGCTTGGTGCGTTGATGGTTCTCCATAGCATGCCGGCGAGTTTAAGGAAAGTGGAGCTATGGTCATCTTGGGTGTTCCTGTCCGCGCTTGTTTTGGCCGTCCTTGCAGCCTGACAGCAATTGACAGCAATGGACAGCAGATCTTGCATGTCCATGTGGCAAAGTGGAGAAGTCTGGACTCCGACACAGAAAAGCTCATGTGTTCGATTGTCAGCTTCGATCATCGAGTTCCTGAGGCTATGGCAGCCTTTACCAAGAGCCAGAAGATCCACTCCCAGCATGCTGTCAGGACTGATGAGCCTCTGAACTGCTGAGTTGTTTGCTAAGTCCTGGGGCAGGCCCGTTTGCGAAAGCACATGGGATGCCCTGAGACTGTGGGGAGATCCCAAGATTTGGTGCCTTGGAGCATGGTTGCCGACAGCACGGCACTGAACTCGCGCTATCGCTCAGGCTTTTGTCAATGACCAACCTATCATTCGGTCGCCTGGCCAGATGGAAATCCTATGCGGCGCATGTGGATGCACGTTAGCAATTTTGGGCACGTGGGGAAGCTGTTTATGCTCATACTTGTCCTGTTGCAGACTAGGCTTTTCCGTCACTCGGCGCAGAGCAGGGCAGTGAGACGTGCCGAAAAATGCATGGCCAGCCAAAATCACGGCTCGTTGCATGGCTGGTAGCGCGCACGCTCAGGTTGCGTGGGTGAATGGCTATGTGAATTTGCGCTGGCACGAGGCAGTGAAGAGTATGACTATCAATGAAGTCAGTCACGAGCACAACTTGTGCAAAGGCAACTGGAGATCTCCACTTACTTGGTTTTGCTGGTGCTCTTACTACTGGCGTCGCTGGCGCTACTTGGTCACAGACTCGCACTTTTCATTTACAGTTAGCCGGACAACCAAGCTGAGGTTGTTTCAAAGCTTTCAGTCAGACCTTTGGCTTGCGGCAAAGGCCGGACGAAGGGGAGAGCTCTCATGATAAAGCATGTCTCAAGCCCACTGCATGATCTGGAGGACTAGAGTTTCATAAGACATTTGACGAGAAACCTGCAGTGGGTGGGAGGCGCTTCGATGCGTGCATGGCTGACAAGTTTTTTTAATTGGCAGCCGGTGGGTACAGCACCTTTTGGGCAAGTCTTCCCAAACTGCTGACGGTCGTGCGTTCTGTATCAGTCTTGGCCAAAGCATGGCCAAAGCGTAGCACAAGTGCGTAGAATCCTGCAGGTGTCATGCTTGCGCTTGGATCTTTCTGCTTCTTGTCGATCGGCTTGGTGAGTATCTTGCCTCAATTACTACAGCAAGATCCACTTGTTCAACAGATTCGTCTTTTCTAATAGACTCGAATGCCTAAGGTAAGCTATCGGAGCCTAACAGCAAGCTGGGATGGAGCCACTTGCATTTGCTTGGCATCTTTTGGCAAGTTTGATCGTGCCCGGGATGGCATGGTCGGACTCCAGGCATATGGCTCCTGCTCCTCCATGTTCTGCACGGAGTGGGCAGAGGACAGGCTGGGTTTTCCGTTTTGACAAGTGACTTTGGCTGATGCCAGGTGTCTACGAAGGAACCGGCAAGGCACGGGTGTGGTACAAATCGAGCGGAAGCTCATAATAGTCTATCCTGTGCAGGCAGTCTTCGGTGACTTCTTTCCTGGTGATAAATGTGTGGGTGCTTTTGCCAATGTGCTCGCACGGGACTGACTTGCCACGATGTTGACTTCCGGACTCACTTCAGTTTTTTTTGTTGCATGTAAGGTGCAGGTATCCGCTTCTTCCATTATTGGATACATTTTAGCTTCGACCGGCTGGAAGGCCTGGTGACTGTGCCAACTTGTGCCAGTAAGAACACATTGCACCTTGCAAGGACGCCACGCGCCCAAGCTGCACTTTCCCTCAGCAAGTCACGTGCGGAGACCTTCTTCATTCCTTTCGTCAAAGTAATGCACGCTGACTGAAGGTACAGCCTCTTGGTGGTCTCTGCTGCCTTGATGCTTCCATTTTATCTCCTGGCCGGCCGGTTGGAATGCCTCAGGAGAGTTTCAGGTAGGAAGTGTCCGAGCTCAGATCTGCAGATCTGCAATTGGCAGGAGCGGCTTTGATGACTCAGGGAAGGACTTGAAGTTGATGTAGCAGCGAGTAGGTACCCATGGGTACCCATTAGGCAGGCTAGCACCATGGGCGAAGGACTTGGAAAGGGCGCCAAGCGATCGCTAAAGTTTGCGCGCTGGACGGCAGCTAAGCAGAAGCTTCCAGCTCGCATCAGCACGCGCATCAGTCGGGGCAGCAAGACTTGGCGTCCGCACCGTGAGGCAGATTCATGCCTGGCCCGTGATGCTCTTCGACTGGACCTGAGGGCGCCCATGTATAGCCCGTGTAAAGCCCAGCGCCTGTTCCGTCCTTGGAGACAATGCCGGCCATGGAAGCCATGCTCTTCAGACACACTTTTGTTGCAATTTTGTGTAATTGGCCAGAGTAGAACTCAGCAGAACCCGGGGCTAAGAGAGAACCGGGGTCTGGGGCCTTCACGCGAGAATGAAACAGTTGGGGACGGGCATTTCACGCAGCTTGAAAGCTCATCTTGCCCAGCAAGGACCTCTGTGTAGCGTTTTCCTGCATCTTCAGGCTGCCATGCCTGTCGCACCAGTTGCGCCTGCAGCTGGGCCATGTGCAGAGGCTCCTGCCACATGCCGTCTCGCAAGAAGCTTACGAATCGCTTCAGTTAGCCTGTGCTTCATGACAGTTCATCATCGACGGATCTGCTTGGGCATGCAGGCATGCTAAAATTGAATGGCCTCTTCTTCAGGGTCTCATCAACACATGTCGCCCCAAGTGACTTTGCAGGCGGTGGATGCGGGCTGTTTGCCTTCACCGCAGTGCGCACTAGCCACTCGGACGCGGAGTGTGGAGGATGCGTTCAGAGGTGTTCAGATTGTGATTTTGGATCTCAGGCTACAAGTTTGCCTTGCCACCAAGCCCGAACTTGATTGCTCTGCGTGAGCCCTTGCTTCTCTACTTGCTTCAACATCTTCAACTTTGTGGACATATCATGCCTTCCGAGGCGGAAGATTCTGACTGAAAGACTGGTCCCAGTGCACTTCTACCTGAGGACCGAAGCGGAAGACCGCAGTTTGCTTGTAGCTCTTTCGAACCCTCAACTCCTGCAAGTTGCTCTTATGCTGCTGCATGTTGCTGCATTGCAGCTGCGTTAACGCAGGAATAATTTGACATTCTGTAATTATGTGGTGCGCTCGGAGGAAATTCAGGAGAAAGCAGCAGGTTGTCCGGAAGTGATGACTCGGATCCAAGGTCTGGGACAAACACTTCATCGGAATCTGTTGCTCTCCGAAGTTTGAGGGCAAGACTCACAAGGCAAGTCAGATAGATTTAGACGCAGAGCCTTTGCGGGCGTTGTCAAGATGAGGAGATCAACAAGATGGTTGATGACATTTGCGCTGAGGCATGTTTGGGGGGTTGCATTGGCGGGCTTCGAATTTTCAAGACTATATTTACGCACAAACTGAAGGTGGGCATGCAGGGTCGAGTACGGCTGCTTTGCCTTGACCACAGCTAATCTGCAGCTGTAGGCTATGTGAGCTGCACTTCAATCAGCTTTGTATTGCGTGGTTGAGGTCAACCTCCTTCCAGATGGCACATGATGCGGCGTCGCGCGCGCCGCCGGTGGGACTTTGACTGGTGAGGTCGCTTGACAAAAAGCCGCATGGTGACAGATTGCGTAGATCTGTACGGACATGAAACTTCTTTGTAGCGGGCACGAGCAACAGACTGCTGCATGCTGAAAACAGCTTGGCCCAAGCTGTTTCGTAGCCCACGACGTTTCTCAGACCCTGTCCCTTCCTAAGTTCATCAACCTGCTTCAAGTAGATGTGTACCTACTCATCCATACTCTTCCAAGTTTGGCTCAGGTGTGCAGTCAACAATGATGCACCTTGGAAGCAGCAGGTGCTTGGCATTGCTTGGCTTGCTGTTTAGACCAAGCGCGTTCCTGAGGCAGTGTGACCCATCCTCTGCTTTCTTTGGGTTTCTGGGCCTGTTTTTTAGAGAGACGAGGTGCTGCACCAAAACCGGTTCACATGCTGTGTGTGGGCCTCCCAGGTTTATGGGGGTGACGTCGGCGTTAGTGTTCGCCAACCTTGGAGCAGCCTACGGCACGGCAAAGTCAGGCCAGCGCATACTAACACCTGTGTGTCTCCCGCGCTTCTGCAGTAGAATCGGTGCATGTTACTTCCTGCCTGCAAAGGTGTTGGCATCGCCTCGATGGGAGTGACTTGACACAGGTTGTTTTCTATTACTTTGTATGCGAATGTAGTGAAGCCATGCGTTTTCCACGCTTCGAGTGCCCTTTGTATACTTTTGCACTGCAATTTAGGTCATGCGCCCGGACATGATCATGAAGCATCTTGGCTACTGCTTGCGTTGACATCTCATAGGTCGGTTGTTCTCTCCAGCCAACTGTTCACACGCACTTTTGAGTGGATTCGGGACTGTGACGCTGTTTGCGTCAGCAATTCAGTTGGTAGGTCTCCGAGGCCTCAAAGGCTGCCCGCAGTTCCCCAGCATCTGTGCTCAGTGCTCAAGCCAGAATGATGTTGATCCCCGACTGCGGGTACTGCGCGTCTTTCCCGGAGCATCCATCATCCCCAACTGACTGCGGTTCCCCGATCATCCATGCTCAAACCACAATGTTGTTCATGCCCGACTGCGCATGGATCCCAGAGCATCATAGAGCATCCATGCCCAAAGCATGATGACATTCTTTCCGGTGCTGCTTCAGAGCATCCATGCCCAGACCATGATGTCATTGCCTACGGTCCCCTGAGCGTTCAAGAAGCCCGAAGCACAATTCGTGTTCATTGTCAATGACATTCGCTTCCTAAGAGCATCTATGTCGAACCATATTGGCGTTCATCCTTGACTGTGTGCGCTTCCCGGAGCACGCGCCCACAAGCCAGAGTGACGCTCTCCCCACAGCGCATACGCTTCCCTGAGCATGCGCCAAGTCATAGCTGGGGACAGGGGACAATATTTTGACGCGTGTACATCTTTCACAACATCAGCTTAGGATAAGGATATTCAGGAGAGTATGATCCGACCCAAGGTCTATCATTCCGGTTGTCATGGTCCTGAACCCAGTTTCACACGAATTTCGTGGGGTCACCGGCAGTGGCACCTACAGGCAGGTGTCCTGGGCATTTACGGGCTCATCACAGCAGCACGACACTTAGCAGGAGGGGTCAGCCTCGTCCGGTTGCTTTCGCGCGTCACACTCAAGGTGATCATCAATGGCAAGATGGATGCTGCAAACTATTCGGCCTACTCTGGCTATGCGCATCTTGGTGCAGGCTTGGCTGGTCACAGCAGCAGGTTCTTCCAAAATCTGAAAACAATGGTGAGGCCTCACTGTGGGCATGAGCTCCCTCGCAGCAGGATTTGCAAAGACCCGTTGTAAGTCTGGGCTGCTCGTGACGTGCTAAGCTGCCAGGACTTGCCATTGGCATCGTCGGAGATGCCGGTGTGCGAGCGAATGCCCAGCAGCCCCGGCTCTTCGTCGGCATGATCCTCATCCTTATCTTCGCAGAGGCTCGTCCGGCATGTGAGAGCTGGAAGGAGTATGTTCCGGGCCTCCTTTGTTCAGGCCCTGGGGCTTTATGGCCTGATTGTTGGCCTGGTGGTTGCCTCCACGGCAGAGGGCAAAGGCTCAACTCATGGAGATGCAAGGATGTGCTCGGAGATGTGCAGAGAACTGTCCAGGCAAGGGCCTTTGCAGCCCGTACGCCTAGACAGGCAGATCTTTGTGTTTCGTGCCTGGTATGCTGACAATCAGAGGCTGTCACTTGTAAGGCCTGAAGTCACTGACTGAGCATGCATGCGTAGTGGCTGCAATAGACTTGGGCCTTTGAGTTTTGGAGAGATTTTGGTAGCTCTCCCTGCGTTGCGCGGTGCTCATTGACCAGGGGCAGCCGAACAGCTGTGACATCCACCTGTTCCCTTGTTCTTGTCCCTTATGCTAGATCAGTTTGTGGAATCACAGTGACGAATCCGTTGCTTGAAAAGGACGTTGGGCAGGTGCCGACGCAGTATTTTTTTTTGAATTGAAGGACCCTCCAACTTGGAGGCTCCCGCTGCGCTCGTATTGCTCTTCCGCAGGCTGCTCAAGTTTTGTTTAGAAGGGCAACATGCTCCGTGGGAAAATGCGTGCGTCCAAACTCGCAGGAGCCTCAGGCAAGGTGGCGGTCAGTCCAAACTCTCGCCCAGTTGGCACAGGTTCTCTCAGCTTATTCAGCGTGGTGATGCCCTAGCTCCTTCCTCAGTTAGAACACGCCATCGCAACCAGGTTCCATGTGGCATTTGTTCTTGGCTGGGTTGGATCGATACTCGACTGGACACTCTCTGCAAGTTGAATGACTGTTGCCTGGACGCTCACAAATCAAAGCCTCTTGGTGAAGCTTACCTGTGTGCACGAGCTAAGGCCTGGAGATAGCCATGGCTGGAGGTCACTGCGAGTGGCTTCTGATTCTCGAAGCTTTGCTGGAAGCGTATCTGAGTCTCCAGGTGCTGTGGAGCATAGCTTGGAATATGGAGGCCGAGAGCATGAAAACCTATTCTGAATTCATTCCGCAGCATGGTAGGGTGTGTAGCAATGTGCATCACCAGGCTCAAGGATACACCTGCAAGTGCCACCTATTGTCTCAGAGACTCGTACCAATTTTCAATCAAGTTGCCAGCTTCGTTAGCTTATCTTCGACCACTCGCACATGCCTTTTCGTCTCTAGTACCTAGTCCCTAGCTACACATGCTGCTTTGCAAGCATGCACCACGCATTGCAATGCCCGCTCGAGTCGCCATTGCAGGACCGAGTTCTTGTCTTGCAAGTGGTACCTGGTACCTAGTGACAGATTTTGAGCCGATTAGGGCTGCATGGACAGCTGGCCGCTTTTGGCCTTGTCCACAAGCAGGCCCAGCCACACAAATGTGCGTGTTGCTGTAAGAAGCTCTAGGCAATCAATGGCAGGCTATGTGCAGCAAAACGCTGCCTCGTCGGCTTCCATGCTCAAACAGCCCATCACATTCAGCAGCCTTCCCCACACCAGCATTCGGGTTGGCAGCAGCAAAGTTGGCAACAACCACAAACGCAGCAGCGCCAGGGCTGGCAACAGCCAGAGCAGCAACATCAGCAGAATCAGCAGCAGGGCTGGCAACAGCAGAATCACCAGCAGGGCTGGCAGCCGCATCAACAAGGTGCTGGCTTCCAGCAACATCAGCAAGGTGGTTCGCAGCCACAGCACGGGCACCAAGGCTGGCACAGCCAGCAGCCCCATCACGCTGGTCAACCGCCCAATGCCGGCGGGCACCAGCACGCACAGCACACTGCGAACCAGAGAGTTCTGGGTTCGCCTGAAGCCCAGCGAGGTGGCTCAAAGCAGCCGCAGAGCGCTGAGGACGCCGAGGAGTGCTGATGGCCTGAGATCAAAACTCCCTGTTGCCCTGGACAACAGGAGGAGGATGCAGACACAGCTGGGGCGGATGACGAGGTGTGGTGAGAGTGCTGGTTGCAGCTCTGGTTGCTGGCCAGCTGCAGTGAGGCCGATGCCGTTCCGGAGCCAAAGAAGCTCCCGGAGGAGGCAGAGTGTCCTCTTCTTTCCGCCATCTTCATGTATTACAACATAGCCTTCCCGTATTTTATGCATGTTGTCAGGTCTCCTCCAAGAAGCTGGCTGAAGAGAAGGCCTGGAGGGATTGGAATTGTGGGAGCCTGTTTGCCCAAGCCGAAGTCGACAAGGCTGCATCAGCTAAGAAGCAGCAGCTTGAGGCTGAGGAGACTTGGCCCAAGTGGCAGTGATTTCCAAAGTTCCGCGAGAAGCAGTGAGACATTCCTGAAGCTGCAGGAGGACAAGAAAAAGGAGCAGGCGCTTAAGGAGCAGGAGCTTAAGAAGTTAGAAGAGGAGCGACGAGCCAAGGCAGGATCCTTCTGCTGTCATGCTCAGTACCTTTATCCTTGCGAGCAGTCCTTATGAAAATTGCAGGAATTGCTCAAGTCCCTGCCGCCCGTTCCCAAGGCTTTGAGTGAAATGTCCGTGAGCTTGCCCAATGGTTCTCAAATCACCTGAAGGACGGCCATGCCAACCACCGCAGCTGCGAGCTCAAGGTTCAAGGTGCACAGCCAAAGTTGTTCAGGATGGCAATTGTTGAGGCTGGGAAGCTCAGCTGTCCGGCAGCGATGTGAAGCATGAGCTCGAAGCCAGGCCGGCAGTCAGCAACTGTGTAGATTTGCTATGCAGATCATCAGGGCATCAGATCCTCGCAGGGGTGCGGAATAATCCGAAGTTTCGGGAAAATATATTATGCGCATCAGTGCCTACTGGCAGTGTGCTTTGTAAAGTTGTGCGGGCCAAATGGAGAACGCATGAGTTCCCATTATCAAAGGAACCCAGATCTGTTTGCCACGCCCCTCAGGGATTATGTTAACGAAAGCCGAAGATTTGGGGCACAGTTTGTGAACTTTGCTCTGAATCTTGCCAGTCCTGCCCTGTGAGTCGTGAGATGGATTCTCTGCGTTCCAAGCAGCATGTGGATCCTGGTGCGCTCCTAGTCAAGGCCAGCCCTAGAAGCGCTTGTTCTCTACGAATAGGGACATCCTTTTTGGCCAGGACATGAGAGGAGCCTTCCTCACCTTCTTAGGCCCCGAGGGTCCGCCCCAGCATCTGGCGTCTGCCAGTGCGAGGGCGAGTGCCAACGAAGAGGTCGGACGGTAGAAAATGGGAGAAAGACGTACTCGCAATCCTTGGCAAGTCTATTGCGGTGCTGCTAGGAAGGCATGGCTCATCATCAGAGCAGGGAGCTGGGACAGCGACCGCTGTGTGGCTGCGTGTTGCTTGCAACCAAGTTCGGGTGTAGACGAGGTTGGGAAGCCAAACTTACAGCCGAAGACATGAAAAGCCAGATGCTTTCCAGGCAGCCAGAGCTTTCACCCACACTTTTTTTTTGTGAGCATTTGCACCTGCGGCAGCCGCGAACGCGACTCCCTGATGACGGGGGCAGTTTTGTCCTCGGCTCTTGCCCTGCATCAAAAACGCAGATTTTACTACGCCAAGGCAGGAAGCGACGGGGCCAACGGGAGCCTGGCCGATCTGGGCGTAGGAGGTCTCGATCGTGTTGGAGGATTCACCATGCCAAGGCTGTTCCACAGTTTCGTAGCTAAATCTCAGCTGAGATGTCAGGAAGCAGTGCCAAGAACAAGAATACCCGAGATGCCGCTGGCACTAAGGACAAAGTTGATCTAGGCAGGTTGCAATGTGCAGTGCAGTGTAGCTGATTGCAAGAGCTGCGCACAGACCGCATCGCCACCACACTTAAGTTGCTCGCACGTTGTATCGCCCGAGACCCGTACACGAGGAAGGTGGACACGGAAAAAGCAGAGCTAGTCGAGCAGGCAATGGCCTGCGGGCCAGTGCATGGCTGGGGTGCAAGGCGGTTGGGTTTCGCAAGGCAAAAAACAAAAGGACCTGTCGTGAGGGCTTGCGGATGCTGTAGGGGCGGCCACAGAATCTTTGCCTTCTGGCTGAGCCCGATGTGAACTTTGCTCAATAGTTTGTGGTTTTGAATCTTGACAGGTGCAGCGAGTACTGGCACTCTGCTGCCTCTGTGCCGATCCCAATGGTATGGGACTGGACTGGGCAAGCTGGGATTGACTACGAGCCTACGTGGAGCCGAGGATTGCGCAGGTGGGCCAATCTGTTGGTCTCAACGACTTTCTGAAGGTTCAGCTTTGATTGTTTTGCACTACTTCACGTGTTGTTGCAATTCGTAGCCTGCCCCCAGAACAACGTGGACAGCTTTAACCTGGCCTTCAGACAATCTCCGTATCCCAAGCCTCTCGGGCTGGAAAAGTGACCTGCAAAGTCAGCTTCTTCGGCTTGAGCTGTTTTTCGCTTATCAGGTTCTTTTGTGGCAAGGAGGGAGAGACCACACGAGAGCTGCCAGAAGATGACCATCCAGCACTCCGCTTTGCCTTTCCAGTGCGGATGCCTGCCTGAGATTTGGATAACTGCTTGGATTAAGCTACGTGAACCTTCACATGAAGTAGCATACTGCATCCTCCTGGCGAATATTTTTTCGATATTTCGCTGGTTGCCAGGAATGTCAGCATAACGCTCACGAACCTGGGCAAGCTGGGCAAGGGACCGCAGGAGTCACAAAGCCTGCAGAAAGTGAAGTATCTTGCGTGAGCGGCAATTGGTAGTTGCAGGAGGTGGTATGGGATGCAGAGTTTGCCTCGCAGAAGCCAACGGCAACCATATCAGGCAATATCAGGCATACAGGTCAGGTTATGTGTAGCGCGTAGACGGATGGACTTCTATTGATTCGGTTTTTCGCGCAGGAACAATGCGGCCAGTCGGCGGCACAAAGCCTCGCTACAAGCCTCCGTGCTTTCCAGCCAAGACGAAGTACCACATGGAGTTGCGAGTGATTTTCATCTGCACATATCTGCACTGTATCGTCACCTTCTCGTGCTAAGTTGCAAATGGGCAGCCTAGAACACCATGCTCCATGGTGGGGAAGGTGTAATTCGGCCTAGATCCCCCAAGCTGTGCTTGTGCCCTGCGCGGATTTTGCTGTGATGAGCCGCATGCTTCGCCGCTTAGCCTGTGATGTCTTCTAAAATGATGGTGACGTCGATTCGCAAGAGTTGTACGAGGATTGCTGAAGATCCGGGTCAAGAGCAGGGTTCTCGTGGGCAGCCGCAGGCAGCAGGGAAATTGAGCTCATTGCAAGGCGCTTGAAAAAAGGACGGATGTCTCCAGGTGCGCAGGCGGGGCCCCGATCGCAGCATCGATGAAGTGTCTGAGTTCGAGGCGGCTCTTTACAGGGCTAGGCCGCTAGGCCTCAACACGGATGGTCTGTACTGTGCTCGAAACGCTTGGGTCAGACAAGATTCACACTAACACACTTACATACACCTACAATCTTCAATTGCGATCGCCTTTGTTCATCTAATTGACGCTGTGTTCTGCAGGTGCAGCTCATTGACAGGAACGATCCACTGATGCAAGCGAGGCCAGTCAGGGTTGCTGCTCATGAAGTACATGGCTGCACGGGTTCGATGCCTTCGACCAAAATATGCTTCTAGGATCTTGCGCTGTTGTCGACGATCTTTGCGATGCAGGCTAAAGGATGCTCAGGCCCACTATGGTGGCTTGGCGGACTCCAGCTCAGGCACGGGTGCCAAGCTTCTGAGGGAATGTCTTGAGGAAGGGACTGAAAGCTGCAACGCAGGAGCTGCAAGTGGGGAAGGAGTCGTTTCCGGGTCTGGAAACCAGGCGAAACTGGGCAGGCCTTTGAAAGCGAGCGGTTTGGTGTTCACAGAAACGCGTTCCTCTGTTCAGGTTGCTCAAGGAGTTGATGAAGTTTGAGAAGTCGCTTGCCAGCGGTATGCAATGCTGGAGCTGCTAGTTTGCTGTCGAGCTCCCTTAGATTGGACAGGTTGGGACCCTATGTCGCTGCAGCACCTGTCCCCTTCGCCCTGCCAAAAGCAAGGCCTGGGCAAACTCATATTGACACCATCTCTTGATAACCTGCTTCTGCAGCTTCTGAGGCAGTCGAGTACTGATGAACCCGCTTCCACCAAGTGTTCTTTCACACATTTTCTGTAGCAGAGCAGCCGATCGCTTTTACTTACACTGCTGGATCATCTGCACTGCTCTGAGAGACGTGTGGACCGAGGCTACCAGAGCTGGAACGGAATTTTCAACATGTGCCGCGCTCGAGGAAAAAGGTCACCACAGCTCACCACGCTTTGTCAAGGCTTTGAGCTTCCCTTGCGGAGAGAGAGGTCTTGTAGGAAAGAGATGGTAGCTCTTACAGGTGCCGTTGGTCTGGGATCGGTTTCTGCGCAGAAGCTGTGGAAGAACACAGCCGAGGAATCAGAGCCACAAACTCGTTTGGTCATCGCTCTGGCTTCTGTTCGTTTGACACGGGTCTCCAAGGCCCCGCCCATTGCAGATCGAGTACAACAGCGGCATGTCTATTGAAGACTCCGAAATCTGCGAGGTGAGGTTTGAGACGTCCATCGTAGTGAAATGCTGCAAAGTGCAGAAAGTGACAGGATCTTGGCTTACCCGGACATCAGAAGGCGCACAACAAAAGCTGCGTCATGGTCTTCAGTTGGTCTCGTTTGACATTGAAAATCTGACTTGGGGGGGGTCTTTCGGCGCTTGGAGTCAGACGCCCTGGCTGGGGAGGGTGCTCACCTTCTTTTTAACGAGATGCTTGCCTGCATTGCTTCAAATGCAATGCGAAACAGCTAAAGCATTGCGAAACCAGCTGGAGGCAAACAGCTGACAAAGTGATGTCGTGAACCAGACTATTGAAGTAGCCACTGGGTCAACGTACAATACTCACCTGAAAACCAAGCAGCACGTAGCATAGAATACGGTAAAGACGCGAAGGGGACAGAGGCTTGTGGCAGAAGTTGCGCCTATTGCGTTCTTAGGTTCTCAAGATTAGTCTAGGCTGACCACAACTGCATTTCAGTTCTTCTTGGTAGGTTGCAGAGACCGTCTTCGAAGATCCTGAGGAGGCAACAAGCTGCGGTGGTGCTGCCAACGCTTTTGATTGTCCCGACTTCCGCAGCAAGGCCAACATTCGACCTCGACTGCTTGTCCCTCTGCAGTCTGTGCTTGGTCTCAAGGCCCTGTGCAACTGGGACCTTAGCCTCTCCTTGCTTGCACTGCTTGCTTGCTTGCTTGCATGCTTGCTTGCAGACCACGTGCGTCAGCTGGGAGCTTCACTGAGGTGAGCGAGAGTACATTCGCACTGAGACCGTGACGGAGATGTTGAACCAGTGTCGTACCGCTTATTACAAGGAAGCACTCGAAGGATGCAATGCTTGTGAGAGGGATTGGATTTCTTGTGAGCAAGGAGCTGCTGTATCTTCGGGAGCAATTAATCCTGGCTGCCGAGCCGGAGAAGCAAATGCTGCATCTTGGATGAGTTACCCATCGGCGTGCTGAATACATGGGATTCGGCTCGGATGTGGTTACAAGGCTGGCATCGGTCCAAAACTATGAGGCTGGAATGTTGCGCACCATATGACAGGTACTAATTGTTAACTAGTGTGGCAGACGGCCGTATTCATCGATGTAACATCATACATCTTTGCAGCTAGTTGTCGTTTTACTGTGGCAATTCTTTCATATCATCCTTCTCTTGATTATTCTTTGCGGGTTGTTTTTTTTTGGTGGTGTGCTAACGCCATCATCGCATCCTGCAGGTCTATTACTTCAATCCACCCGCTTACGTAGTGTGAGCCTGAGTTGTGCACATGCCGCAGGATGCAACAAAAAATGCAGAGACGGTCAGCTGAACTGTGCTCCAGGATGAAGACTTAAAAGAATACATGATGAATTGCAGCCGCCGCTCGCCCGTCAATGCAGAAAACCATGAGTTGACATAGTTCTCACACTTGAAACATGTGGCCTGTGCGTCAGTGGTCACAGCAGGGTGGACGCACAAGAAGCTGATTGAGGAGAACTACGAGTTGCAAATGAAGCTGGCAGGTGGAATGGGTGGAATGAATTCGTGTGACAAACCCGCTGGCAAAGCATCTGCTTCTCTAAAGGGACGGAGTGCTGCACAGGGCAGGAGGATGTGTTTGAGAACGCAGACTTCTGCCTAAAAGGGCTCCTTCGAAGACATGGGCGGGGACCTCAGCTTTACTGCTGTCGCCTCAACTCTACAGGACAACAAGCGCTCTTTTCAGGACTTACAGGATGTTCAAGACTATGCACAACATTGTGAGGAATGCGAAGGCTGCCCAGCATTCAGTTGAGGGAGACCTTGTTAACCAAATACAAGCTCCTGAGCCATGGGCGGCTTTTCGGACCACTTGGTCCGATATTTGAAGGATTCAGGGCCAGATTTCGAAGAACAAAATTGCATTCAAGAGTTTTTCTTTATAGGAAACAAGAACCTAAAGACAAACCATAAAGCAACGTGCATCTGAACTGGGGGTTTTGTGGATGTTCTGCTCTTTGAATTTACTGCTTTGCACAGGCATGTAAAGTAAAGGTATTACGAGCAATTCCAGAACGTTGCGCCCTGGCGGCCTGTATTTGTGGGGTTCAGATTTTAAGCAATAAATCTCACGTACAATTCTTATCAAGTTAAACCAACAATGCGCAGGGGAGATCAGTCCTCAGAGGCTCTGGGGAGGCCCTAGTGAGGCTCCAGGAGGCTCCCCAAGGTAAGAGGGAGGCGAAAAAGAAAAACAGTCAGAAGAACAAATTCCAGCCAGCAGTTCCTTCCGCACCCTTCCCACTCCATTTGACAATCTACAAGCCCTTCATATGCATCTCTGTTTCGTCTAATTGAAAGAAGTTCTCGTAGTGAATGTCATCCATGTCAAGGGCCGCCATGCTGGTGTGTATTTCCATATTCTGTATATTCGTCCCATAGAGTTGTTAAGTAAAGATATCCTCCAGATGCTTTATTCTCATATCCATATAGTAAAGTGGACTTTGTGGGCACAGGGAATGGACTTGTAAAGAGACTCTAAAGTATGAGCATGCATATCATGAACGTAGTTGTTCGGGGGCAGCTATGTAAAAGACATGAGAAGCGGGATAACCTCTGTTCGGCCTGCTATGACCTTCAACGGAAATGTAGTGAAGCACATGCAAGAATACCACATACTTGGTCATGTTTCGGAGGTTTCGAAGGTATCGGAGTATTTGGGGCCTGGATAGGGACGAACGTTTTGATACATCACGAATGAATTTACCGAGCTCTGTTTGGTACAGTGCAGCATTGTTGTAGATTTCAGAATGTTTTTTGGCTGAGAGTACAACACTTTTACACTATTTTGATTTGGTTTTTTGGACAGCACAGCACTTTTGCGGTCCCCAACAGTAAAAATGCTGTGCTGTCCTAAAAACACCAATCTCCAAGAGCAAAAGTGCTGTACTGTCCCAGTAAATCCAAAAAATCTTTTCGAACCTCCAGGGCCTCCGGGCGACCTGAGGCCCCAAAGATTGGGACAGCACAGCACTTTTGCTAGATTTTTGCAAAAACTGCGGGACAGTACAGGCACTTTTGCAGTCTCCAGAAGCAAAAGTGCGTTACTGTCCCATAGTTTTTCGGTAAATCTAGCAAAAGTGCTGTGCTGTCGGGGTTCCAGGTCTTCTAAAGGCTTGGAGGTTCGAAAAGATTGGTATGTCGGTTTTATTGGGACAATACAGCACTTGTACTCTTAATGACTGGTCTTTTGGCACAGTATAGCACTTTGGCAGTCTCCAGAAGCAAAAGGCTGTACTGTCTCAAGGTTTTACACTCTCGAAAATCGGTAAACAAGGGATTCAGGAATTCTGTATTTTTTTAATTAGATTTTGAAAGGAATTCATATAAACAAAGTTTCTATCCAAAAACTGGAAGCACATCCAACGTTTCAGGATTATAGTATCATGTCTAATTGAATTATAAAAGGAATCCATATAGACCAAAACCCTCTCAAAAATGGTTAAACCAGGAATCCAGGATTCCCATATTTTTGAAAATTGGATCTTAAAAGGAGTTCAGAAAAACCAAGTCTCCCTCCACAACTGGAAATCCAGGATTTCAGGATGTTTGTATCATTTCGAATTGCATTATAAAAAGGTTTCATACTGACCAAATTACCAGGAACCCAGGAATCTGTATGAATTGTTTATTAGATTCTAACAGGAACTCATATAAACCAAATCCCTATCCAAAACTCGAAATCCAGGATATTGTATCATGCCTAATGGAATTTGCTACAACCCAAATTCTTGTCCAAAACAGGAAA